AATAATATTAAAATGTTAACAAAAAAAAAAAAAAAAAAGTATGATTATGTTAAATTTTCACATCTACTTTTAATTCTAATGACATTTTACAATACAGTTTTACTTGCATATTCATTGAGCAAAATTATATGTGCATTTTTTTTTTTCATAAAATTTATTCAAAAAAAAATTTTTTAACAAAATTAAAAATTTATTTTTTTTTTTGCAAAATTAAAATTTATTTTTTGCTATTTTGCTATTTGATTTAATCAAATAATTCACTAATAAAATTTCTATTATTTCACATTGATTCGCTTTTTTGAGTTAATAAAACTTTTGCCTAAATTTTACTAAAATTTAACATTCCTTTTTTTTAAAAGTCATTTAAAAAAAAAAAAAAATTACTTATGCATTAAAATTTTACTTTAGCATTTGAATATATGCAAGTAAAAATAATTATTGTTTGTTAATACAAAATTGAAAATTATGATTTCAGTATGAGATTTACATCTGTTTTAATTTTTAATGTGATTTATAATTTTCATTGAGAAGTAATTGCCATTTATTTTTTATTATTATTATTATTAATGTTTTTCAAATTGATTAAAGAATAAATTTATATTATTTGAACAGATTTGGAGTAAGATTACTATAAATAGTTAAAGTAATATAAAAGAAACATTAATTATCATTAAGTTATATATTTAATTAAAGTATAACAGTCATTCTTAATTGAAAATCAATAATAAATGAGGTAAATGCGCCAGTCTTATCAGTAGTTTATCAGTAATAGATAACACTTTTATAACTTGTTAAAAGTGATTAATTTTAATTGTTAAAGTATTAATAAAATGTTTTATCACAATTTTTTTTTTAAACTTTATTAATAAATGAATGAATTTTCACATATTTATAATATTATTAAAATCAATGAATTTTCACATATTTATAATTTATTGAAAATCAAACTATTAATAATAAATGAGGTAAATATGCCAGTCTTATCAGTAGTTTATCAGTAATAGATAACACTTTTATAACTTGATAAAAGTGATTAATTTTAATTGTTAAAATATTAATAAAATGTTTTATCACAATTTTTTTTTAAACTTTATTAATAAATGAATGAATTTTCACATATTTATAATATTATTAAAATCAATGAATTTTCACATATTTATAATTTATTGAAAATCTAACTATTGATAATAAATGAGGTAAATGTGCCAGTCTTATCAGTAGTTTATCAGTAGTAGATAAACTACTAGATAACACTTTAGATAACACTTTTTTAACTTGATAAAAGTGATTAATTTTAATTGTTAAAATATTAATAAAATGTTTTATCCCAATTTTTTTTTAAACTTTATTAATAAATGAATGGATTTTCACATATTTATAATACAAACAACAAAAATCGCTTATTAATTTAAGCTTTAAATTAATAAATTAAAGTTATTTTTTAAATAATTTTAGCAAGGAATTTGAAATAAAAATGAATTGTAATTGAACTAACATTTTAAAAAAAAATACAAATATTTTTGGCATTTTTTGTTTAAGATAATATTTTCAAACAATAAAATTTTTCTTTTGCGACAAAATTTCTTTTTTTTTTTACAGCATTACTACAAATTATTTGAATGATCAATTTCAACTGTTAAAATATCAATAAAAAAAATTATATATTACAATTTTTAAAATTTTAATTAATTAATAAATTGACAAAGTTTTACATATTCCTAGTGCAATAATAATTCAGACTTACAATGTTAAGTTTATGTCATTTTTAATTAATTTTAGCAACGAATTTTGAAAAAAAAAATATGAATTAAAATTGAATTTTCATTAAAATAATACAAATATTTTTAAAATAATACAAAGGTAATATTTTCAGGCAATTTGATCGTTCTTTTGTAACCAAAATTTTTTGTCACAATATCATTTCAAATTATTTGAATGATTCATTTCATTTCAAATTATTTGAATGATTCATTTCATTTCAAATTATTTGAATGATTCATTTCATTTCAAATTATTTGAATGATTCATTTCATTTCAAATTATTTGAATGATTAATTTCAACTGCTAAAATATTAACAAAATAATATATTACAATTTTTCAAACCTTAATAAATTGAATAATTCGACGAAGTTTCACACATAAGCACCACCTCATACAATCCCATACTAAGCCTAAGATAAGCTTAGCCTAGACATAAGCCTAGGCTTAAACCTAGGCTTAAATCTAAGCCTAGGCATAAGTCTAAGTCTAAAAAAATTATGCACTTTTACCAAAAAAAAAATTATACATTTGTAACTTTATGCACGACCGCAAGCAGGCCTAGGCTTAGGCTTAAGCTTAGAATTAGGCTGACTTTGGCTTAAAAGTGCCAATAATTAATATAAATGTGTAAAATTAAAAATGCATAATTTTTTTTGGAAGTTTTTTTTTTTAAAAAAAAAAATTTAAAACCATATGTTAAATCATTTTCCTAAAATTTTATCAAATATTTTTTCTTTTCATTTTTTTTTTAAACTATTTTATAAAGTAATATAGTTTAATATTTCTTATCACTTATTTATTTTTCATCTTTACGTTCTTCTCAAAAAAAAAAGAAAACAATTACACAAATTATTTATTTTTTAAATTTATTATTCTCTTTTCAGTTTTATATTTCATTTCTTCTATAATAATTTATTTAAAGTTATATATGCTAATGAAATTAACAGAAATTATTTGATTTGATACATATAATCGCCAGTAAAATTTAATAAATTTATTATCCATAAATAAAAAGTTTTAAAAAAAAAAAAATTTCTGTCATATGTATCAAAAAAGATTAAAATTAAAAAGTAATATTGCGGAAATTTTTGTACTCTAAATTATTACAAATTGTGCCATTTCTAGAAATTGATTGATCATTATTCCATTGCTGTTGTAATTGATCAAAATAAGTTTGACGGATGAATTGATCTGGTGATATATTAATTGAATTTGATCTGCCAAGTTTTACGCAACATTCAAGGCCAAGTACGTGAAAAAGTGAATTTTGAATTGTTTTACTTGCGTGAAATAAGATAATGGCAAGAATAATTGATGCAATTGGTAGAGAACATGCCTGGAATAAAAGTAAAGTATAGTAGATATTGAAGTTAGTTTGTTTATTTGTTTGTTTGTTTGTTTGGTTGGTTGGTTGTTTATCAAATAAGTGAAAAAGATTTTGGAAGAAAGTTTTTTTTTTTTTTTTTTTTGAGAGAGAGCACCTGTAGATATTCAAGTTAGCTTGTTTATTTGTTTGTTTGTTTGTTTGTTTGGTTGGTTGTTTATCAAATAAGTGAAAAAGATTTTGGAAGAAATTTTTTTTTTTTTTTTGAGAGAGAGCACCTGTAGATATTCAAGTTAGCTTGTTTATTTGTTTGTTTGTTTGTTTGGTTGGTTGTTTATCAAATAAGTGAAAAAGATTTTGGAAGAAATTTTTTTTTTTTTTGAGAGAGAGAGCACCTGTAGATATTCAAGTTAGCATGTTTATTTGTTTGTTTGTTTTGGTTGTTTATCAAATAAGTGAAAAAGATTTTGGAAGAAATTGTTTTTTTGAGAGAGAGAGCACCTGTAGATATTCAAGTTAGCTTGTTTATTTGTTTGTTTGTTTTGGTTGTTTATCAAATAAGTAAAAAAGATTTTGGAAGAAATTTTTTTTTTTGAGAGAGAGAGCACCTGTAAATGCTACCTGTATTTCAGCGCAAAAACAATACGTGATTAATTGATCAGCAATAATTGAATAATTATCTATATGACGTGAAGGTAGCACAAGATGTAGTAATGCACCCGTAAGAATAAATACTGTTATAATTGCAACAAATGGTACCAATAATTTTGACGTTGAAACATTTTCACGTAACTGATAACGTACGCTAACATTTTCATTTTGAGATTTTCGATGGAGCTAAAAAAAAAAAGAAAAAACAATATTAAAAATTAAGAAGAATGCTTTTTAAACTCTATTGCTAACTAAAAAACTACCAGAAATATTGAAATATTTTAGTCTGATGAAATGTGACCGAATTTATTAAAAAAAATTTGGCTCACAACAAAAGGATGTGTTAGTAATATAAATAAATAAATAAAATTCCTACCCTATCATTGACCTACTGTTGACCTATTATTGTTATCATTATTACAACTTTTGATAAGCTTGACAGTTTAGTAATACTATCACATTCCACATTTCAAAAAAAAAAGAAAAATTTAATAATCAATAATAATAATAATTTAAATAATATTATCTTTTAATAATCAATTAAAATAAATGCATCAAAATTTGAAATATTTTAAATGAAATTGAAAATTGCTTACTAGTATTATTATCATTATTACAACTTCTGATAAGCCAGCTTAGTAATACTATCATATTCCACATTTCAAAAAAAAAATTTAATAATCAATAACAATAATTTAAATAATATTATCTATTAATAATCAATTAAAATAAATGCATCAAAATTTGAAATATTTTAAATGAAATTCAAAATTGTTTACTGTTATTGTTATCATTATTACAACTTCTGATAAGCCAGCTTAGTAATACTATCATGTTTCACAATTCAAAAAAAAATTTTTTTAATAATCAATAATAATAATTTTAATAATCAATTAAAATAAATGCATCAAAAATTTGAAATATTTTAAATGAAATTCAAAATTGTTTACTGTTATTGTTATCATTATTACAACTTCTGATAAGCCAGCTTAGTAATACTATCATGTTTCACAATTCAAAAAAAAATTTTTTTAATAATCAATAATAATAATTTTAATAATCAATTAAAATAAATGCATCAAAAATTTGAAATATTTTAAATGAAATTCAAAATTGCTTACCAATTTTTTATTGTTATGCGTCCACAATACAATAACAATAACAAATGAGCAAATTTGAATAGCAATAACACCAAGTTGAATATTTGCCATAACATTTGGATTAAATAGCTCATAAGCACAATAAGGAAAAATATGTTCTTCATCATGATTCTGATAATAAATCAAAGGAAGAATTAAAAACCACTGAAAAAAAATTTTAATTAAAATTTAAAAATGAAGTATAGTGCTGAAGTGATATTAAAATAATAGCTCATCAGTATGTACAAAGAAAAAACTTGAAATTTGTCAAATGAATCCAGAAGATATCCGGAAAATTATCCTTGACAAGTTTAATTCAATTTAGTTTTTTTGTCAAAGTTGACATTTTATCATTAGAAAGTTTAGATCTACTAAGCTGTTCAATTAATTGGGAAAGTTTCGATTACTAAATTGTTAAAATTTAGAAATAGAATATAGTACTGAAAATTAAAATTTAGAAATGGAGTATAGTACTGAAAATTAAAATTTAGAAATGGAGTATAGTACTGAAAATTAAAATTTAGAAATGGAGTATAGTACTGAAAATTCAAATTTAGAAATGGAGTATAGTACTGAAAATTCAAATTTAGAAATGGAATACAGTACTGAAAATTAAAATTTAGAAATAGAATATAGTACTGAAAATTAAAATTTAGAAATAGAATATAGTACTGAAAATTAAAATTTAGAAATGGAATATAGCACTGAAAATTAAAATTTAGAAATGGAATATAGTACTGAAAATTAAAATTTAGAAATAGAATATAGTACTGAAAATTAAAATTTAGAAATAGAATATAGTACTGAAAATTAAAATTTAGAAATGGAGTATAGTACTGAAAATTAAAATTTAGAAATGGAGTATAGTACTGAAAATTAAAATTTAGAAATGGAGTATAGTACTGAAAATTAAAATTTAGAAATGGAATATAGCACTGAAAATTAAAATTTAGAAATGGAATATAGTACTGAAAATTCAAATTTAGAAATGAAGTATAATAGTGAAATAATATCAAAAATAATAGCTTATTCAGTATGCACAAAGAAAAAATTAAAATTTTGTTTTTATTTTTCTAAAATGAACTTCAAATATGAACTAACTGTTTTTTTTTTTTTTTTTTTTGCTATTCTATTTTAGTTTTCTTTCGATGATTAATTAGAATATTAACTGATAGAATAAATAATTGATAGTAAACTATCAATTATTTTTGAAGAAATACATTAGATCAAAAATTTATATTCTATTTTTGTTTTTTTTTTTTAAAAAATAAAACTTTTTTACTGATAAACAAAAATTTAAAAAAAGCTAAAAGTTGAAAATTTCACTTTTTCCACATTCTTTTGTAAAATTTTCACATTCATTTATAAAATAAAAATTTGATTGTGATAAAAAAAAAGAGAAAAAAAATAAATTATTGACAGTAAACTATCAATTATTTTTTGAAGAAATAGATTAGATCAAAAATTTATATTCTATTTTTATCTTTTTTTTTAAAAAAAAAAAATTACAAATTTTTGTAAAAAAAAAAAAAAGATTACAAATAAAACTTTTTTACTGATAATCAAGAAATTAAAAAAAAAAAATAAGCTAAAAGTTGAAAATTTCATTTTTATTCTTTTGTAAAATAAAAAATTTGATTGTGATAAAAAAAAAAAAAGTGAAAGGAAGAGTAACTTATCTGTGATAATGCCATTAATATACTAATCCATCGACGAGTGTTATGCTCATATGAGTGATAAAGAAGTGTCGCAATTACTCTTTCAATTGAGAGAAAAAATGTTGATACTACTATCATTATCAGACCAAGATAATATACATTTCTTAATGCTGTAAATATAATTTAATTTATTATTATGTTTAAATATTTAATACTTATTTAGTAATGATAGTTGTTTACTTAATTATTAATTAAAAATTTTCTCAATCTAATACTTATTTAGTAATATTTGTTTACTTAATTATTAATTTTAATACTTATTTAGTAATGATAGTTGTTTACTTAATTATTAATTAAATATTTTCTCAATTTAATACTTATTTAGTAATATTTGTTTACTTAATTATTAATTTTAATACTTATTTAGTAATGATAGTTGTTTACTTAATTATTAATTAAATATTTTCTCAATTTAATACTTATTTAGTAATATTTGTTTACTTAATTATTAATTAGCTAAATATGTGTTTCTCAACAAAAAGAACATCATTTTGTTTAAATTATTTTGTTAATTAAATTAATTATTAATTAGCTAAATATGTGTTTCTCAACAAAAAAAACATCATTTCGTTTAAATTATTTTGTTAATTAAATTAATTATTAATTATCTAAATGTGTGTTTCTAAAAAACATTATTTTGTCAATTAAATTAGTTATTAATTAGCTAAATGTGTGTTTCTTAAAAAAAAATTATTTTGTTAATTAAATTAATTATTAATTAGCTAAATGTGTATCACAACAAAAACAGATCAAATTATTTCTTTAATTAAACTAATTATTAATTAGCTAAATGTGTATATCACAACAAAAAAAACAGATCAAATTGCTTCGTTAATTAAATTTAAAATATTTATTTGTGCAAATCATCACTATCATCATAACTTGAACAATGAAGATAAGATAATTGCTGCAAAAGCGCTAATGACTGAAAAGATCAATGTGAGATGAGCAAAATGAATTGTAAAAAAGAAAATGGCGGAAAGGTTCGTTTATCAGTGATAGTGATGCATTATTCTTCGTTTATCAGTGATAGTGATGCATTATTCTTCGTTTATCAGTGATAGTGATGCATTATTCTTTTTATCTCGAGATTCATTCTATCTGTGTTTTGTGAGAGATGATGAGTCATCAAAGATGCAAATCTTAGAGAGTTCATAATTTTTCATTCTAAAGTTTTGATTTGAAGTGGCTTAGTTGCTACCTTAGCAGCATAGACTAACTGTAGCAATTCATATCTATGACCTAAATGACGATGAAAGTAGTATTTAGGTTTGGTAAATGAATGTTTGGAATTTATAAGGAAACAGTGCTAATTGAAATATTCAAGGAGTCACAGGTGATAGTGAAAAATGACCAATGATTCTGAGTCACAGGTGATAGTGATAAATGACCAATGATTCTGAGTCACAGGTGATAGTGATAAATGACCAATGATTCTGAGTCACAGATGATAGTGATAAATGACCAATGATTCTGGGTCACAAATGATAGTGATAAATGACCAATGATTCTGAGTCACAAATGATAGTGATAAATGACCAATGATTCTGAGTCACAGGTGATAGTGATAAATGACCAATGATTCTGGGTCACAAATGATAGTGATAAATGACCAATGATTCTGAGTCACAGATGATAGTGATAAATGACCAATGATTCTGGGTCACAAATGATAGTGATAAATGACCAATGATTCTGGGTCACAAATGATAGTGATAAATGACCAATGATTCTGAGTCACAGGTGATAGTGAAAAATGACCAATGATTCTGAGTCACAGGTGATAGTGATAAATGACCAATGATTCTGAGTCACAGGTGATAGTGATAAATGACCAATGATTCTGAGTCACAGGTGATAGTGATAAATGACCAATGATTCTGAGTCACAGGTGATAGTGATAAATGACCAATGATTCTGGGTCACAAATGATAGTGATAAATGACCAATGATTCTGAGTCACAGGTGATAGTGATAAATGACCAATGATTCTGGGTCACAAATGATAGTGATAAATGACCAATGATTCTGAGTCACGGGTGATAGTGATAAATGATCAATGATTCTGAGTCACAGGTGATAGTGATAAATGACCAATGATTCTGAGTCACAGGTGATAGTGATAAATGACCAATGATTCTGAGTCACAGGTGATAGTGATAAATGACCAATGATTCTGAGTCACAGGTGATAGTGATAAATGACCAATGATTCTGAGTCACAGGTGATAGTGATAAATGACCAATGATTCTGGGTCACAAATGATAGTGATAAATGACCAATGATTCTGAGTCACAGATGATAGTGATAAATGACCAATGATTCTGGGTCACAAATGATAGTGATAAATGACCAATGATTCTGGGTCACAAATGATAGTGATAAATGACCAATGATTCTGAGTCACAGGTGATAGTGAAAAATGACCAATGATTCTGAGTCACAGGTGATAGTGATAAATGACCAATGATTCTGAGTCACAGGTGATAGTGATAAATGACCAATGATTCTGAGTCACAGGTGATAGTGATAAATGACCAATGATTCTGAGTCACAGGTGATAGTGATAAATGACCAATGATTCTGGGTCACAAATGATAGTGATAAATGACCAATGATTCTGAGTCACAGGTGATAGTGATAAATGACCAATGATTCTGGGTCACAAATGATAGTGATAAATGACCAATGATTCTGAGTCACGGGTGATAGTGATAAATGATCAATGATTCTGAGTCACAGGTGATAGTGATAAATGACCAATGATTCTGAGTCACAGGTGATAGTGATAAATGACCAATGATTCTGAGTCACAGGTGATAGTGATAAATGACCAATGATTCCGGGTCACAGGTGATAGTGATAAATGACCAATGATTCTGAGTCACAGGTGATAGTGATAAATGACCAATGATTCTGAGTCACAGGTGATAGTGATAAATGACCAATGATTCTGAGTCACAGGTGATAGCGGTGAATGACCGATGATTCTGAGTCACAGGTAATAGTGATAAATGACCAATGATTCTGAGTCACAGGTGATAGCGGTGAATGACCAATGATTCTGAGTCACAGGTAATAGTGATAAATGACCAATGATTCTGAGTCACAGGTGATAGCGGTGAATGACCAATGATTCTGAGTCACAGGTAATAGTGATAAATGACCAATGATTCTGAGTCACAGGTGATAGCGGTGAATGACCGATGATTCTGAGTCACAGGTAATAGTGATAAATGACCAATGATTCTGGGTCACAAATGATAGTGATAAATGACCAATGATTCTGAGTCACAAATGATAGTGATAAATGACCAATGATTCCGAGTCACAGGTGATAGTGATAAATGACCGATGATTCTGGGTCGCAAATGATAGTGATAAATGACCAATGATTCTGAGTCACAGGTGATAGTGATAAATGACCAATGATTCTGAGTCACAAATAAATGACCGATGATTCTGGGTCGCAAATGATAGTGATAAATGACCAATGATTCTGAGTCACAGGTGATAGTGATAAATGACCGATGATTCTGGGTCGCAAATGATAGTGATAAATGACCAATGATTCTGAGTCACAGGTGATAGTGATAAATGACCAATGATTCTGAGTCACAAATAAATGACCGATGATTCTGGGTCGCAAATGATAGTGATAAATGACCAATGATTCTGAGTCACAAATAAATGACCGATGATTCTGGGCCACAAATGATAGTGATAAATGACCAATGATTCTAAGTCACGGATGACAGTGATAAATGACCAATGGTTCTGAGTCACAGGTGATAGTGATAAATGACCAATGATTCTGAGTCACAGGTGATAGTGATAAATGACCAATGATTCTGAGTCACTGGTGATAGTGATAAATGACCAATGATTCTGATCCATAAGGAATAGCAATCATAATGATAAGTATGATAAGGAACAGTAAACACTTTAGACAATCCATTTAGCATTTTTTGTCAAATGTTTATTGTTGCATACTTTTCTTACCTGTACTGCTTTACCTATAAGTTTATCTTTGCTAATCTTATCATCCAAAGAAATAATGCTTCTCAGAGAGCTGAACTATTTGGAAATGACTCTTCTAAAAATTAACTTCCTGCAACTTCTGCAAAACAAAGCGTTAGGTGTTGAGGCGGCATAGCTCTCGGACGGAACGTGATATTTAGACGTTCGATCACGTAAGATCACTCTCAAATGACCAATGTCTTGAATAGTTTACTTACATACAAACTTAAGTGTCCAATTTCCAGTGCATTTTTTTTTTCACTTGTCGTTTCGTCCCTTACCTGTCATTTGATGGCTTTACAAATGTGAATTTTTTACTTTTTAAATAACATTACTTTTGCTTCTAAAGTTCAGTCAGAAATCTTCAATTTATAAATTTAAATTAGTGAATTTAGATTAGTTAGAGGATTGATGGAATGAACTTTTAAGACTAAAAAAACGTCATTTGCCCAGATTTGGAGTCAAAAAAATTATTCTTCTTCCAGATTTACCTGATCCTGTTCATTTGACACATCGAACTTTTAAGACTAAATAAACTTCATTTACCCAGATTCTTCCAGATTTATCTAATCCTGCTCATTTAACATACCTAAGTTTTAAGACTAAATAAACTTCCTTTACCCAGATTCTTCCAGATTTACCTAATCCTGCTCGTTTAACATACCTAAGTTTTAAGACTAAATGAACTTCATTTACCCAGATTCTTCCAGATTTATCTAATCCTGCTCATTTAACATACCTAAGTTTTAAGACTAAATAAACTTCATTTACCCAGATTTGCCCAGATTCTTCCAGATTTACCTGATCCTGCTCATTTGACACATCGAACTTTTAAGACTAAATGAACTACATTTACCCAGATTTTTCCAGATTTACCTGATCCTGCTCATTTGACATACCTAAGTTTTAAGACTAAATGAGCTTCATTTACCCAGATTTGCCCAGATTTATCTGATCCTGCTCATTTGACACATCGAACTTTTAAGACTAAATAAACTTCATTTACCCAGATTTGCCCAGATTCTTCCAGATTTACCTGATCCTGCTCATTTGACATACCTAAGTTTTAAGACTAAATGAGCTTCATTTACCCAGATTTGCCCAGATTTATCTGATCCTGCTCATTTGACACATCGAACTTTTAAGACTAAATAAACTTCATTTACCCAGATTTGCCCAGATTCTTCCAGATTTACCTGATCCTGCTCATTTGACATACCTAAGTTTTAAGACTAAATGAGCTTCATTTACCCAGATTTGCCCAGATTTATCTGATCCTGCTCATTTGACACATCGAACTTTTAAGACTAAATAAACTTCATTTACCCAGATTTGCCCAGATTCTTCCAGATTTACCTGATCCTGCTCATTTGACATACCTAAGTTTTAAGACTAAATGAGCTTCATTTACCCAGATTTGCCCAGATTTATCTGATCCTGCTCATTTGACACATCGAACTTTTAAGACTAAATAAACTTCATTTACCCAGATTTGCCCAGATTCTTCCAGATTTACCTGATCCTGCTCATTTGATACACTTTTTGTGATCCATCAATTCATCAGACCAATCTAACATGCAAAAAGATCCGATCGAAGCTTCTTTTTATGGCCGAATATTTATGCAAATTAAATTTGTATTAAAATAAAATAAACTAACCAATACAATCTGATTTAGTAAACGATAACCATGCACAACGTTCTACATCTACTTTTGATATAATTGCTATAAGATAATAAGTTGAATCGATAAGTGTTCCTAAATGAAAAAAAAAAAATAAAACAAATTTACAAATTAAATTAAAAAAACAAATTTAAAACAAATTAAATTTTATATTAAAATATAAAAAAAAAGCTTAGTTTATTATTGAATTGCAAAGAAAAAGAAAAAATTTGCTTATTTTATTTTCATATTTTATTTCATAAAATAATTTTTTTTTTTATTTTATTTCATAAAATAATTTTTATTTTATTATTTCAAAGATATTTTATTTCATTTTTAACTAATAATAATAATAATAATAATAATAATAATAATAATAATAATAATAATAATAATAATAATAATAATAATAATAATAGTAATAATCAACAATGAAAAATTGTTGAAAAGTTGAAATTATCCAAAAATTTAACAGTTTGTTTCGATTCGTTTTTTCTTTTATTTTCAAATTTTATTTCATAAAATAATTTTTATTTTATTATTTCAAAGATATTTTATTTCATTTTTAACTAATAATAATAATAGTAATAATCAACAATGAAAAATTGTTGAAAAGTTGAAATTATCCAAAAATTTAACAATTTGTTTTGATTGTTTTTTCTTTTTTTCTTTTTTTAATTGTTAATTAAAAATGAAAGAAAAAAAAAGTAAACAAAAATAACTTTAAATAATTACCTATACAAGTAACAATAATAGCGCCCCAAAAGCATAGAAGTAATAATCGCAAATTGAAATGAAGTGTTTTATTAAAAATTATAGCTAAGAGAGTAAGTGAAGTTGTTAAAATAGCCAAAATACTTGTTAAAAGTTCAATAATAAATACATTATGCATTCGTGTATTCTTTACATAAATTAATTTTGTCATTTCACAAATTCCGGATAACACTGATACATTAAACATTTTTCCTGAAAATTTCATTTTTTTTTATAAATTATAGAAAGAATTATTTACGATGAAATTTTGTTTACCAATTAAAATAATTGTTTAGTAAACAAAAAAAAGAAACAAAGGTTTAATTACTTCAGTAGTTGAATGTTTGTTTACCAATTAAAATAATTGTTTAGTAAACAAAAAAAGAAACAAAGGTTTAATTACTTCAGTAGTTGAATGATTGTTTACCAATTAAAATAATTGTTTAGTAAACAAAAAAAAAAAGAAAACAAAGGTTTAATTACTTCAGTAGTTGAATGATTGTTTACCAATTAAAATAATTATTTAGTAAACAAAAAAAAAACGCAAAGGTTTAATTACTTCAGTAGTTGAATGATTGTTTACCAATTAAAATAATTGTTTAGTAAACAAAAAAAAAAAAAACACAAAGGTTTAATTACTATCTTCTCGAATTTAAAAATTTCAGTGGTTGAATGATTGAAATGAGATACAAGTAGTTAAGAAGGTTTATGTTAAATTATTACTTTCTCGAATTTAAAAATTTTTGATTCAATGAGATAAAATTGAATTTTGATTAAATTGAATGATTAAAATGAGATACAAGTAGCTAAGAAGGTTTATGTTAAATTATTACTTTCTCGAATTTAAAAATTTTTGATTAAATGAGGTAAAATTGAATTTTGATTAAATTGAATGATTAAAATGGCATACGAGTAGCTAAGAAGATTTATGTTAAAATTTACTATCTTCTCGAATTTAAAAATTTCAGTGGTTGAATGATTGAAATGAGATTAAAAATAGTTAATATCAATAAATAATGCAAATGGGGTTTTGTTATTGGAAATTTTGAAAAAAAAAAAAAAATGTCAGACATTTTAATTTGATCTAATTATTCTTCCTCTAATTAGTTTAGTCTAAGACATAAGATTTAAACTGATTGATTTTTTGCTAATCAGAAAAATTTTAAAAAACATAAATTTAATGAAAAAGGTTAGTTGATAAATAAAAAAAAACTATTGCAATCAAAAATTGCTAATATAATTAATTAATTAATTAATTACAAATTTAAATTTTTTTCAAACAATAATTTTATTGATAATTTTCTCAGTTGCATTTCTAGATTCTTCTTTTCTTCTTTTTTTTTTGTCAAAAATTTTAAAATACCAATAAGGCCATTATTGTCACAAATTATTTTGGGTTAAATTCCGGAAATGAAATTTTTATGTAAAATTTCAGAAAATACCGGAAAATATTTTGATTTGCAAGCTGCTTCATCACTTAGAATATGAATTGCAAAAATTATAAATATAAAGCATTCTAAATAATTAATAACTTATTATAAAATATAAAAATAACTTTTATTATAAAATATAAAAATTACTCATTTTACATTCGTTTTTGTTTTTGTAAAAAAAAAAAATTTAACGAAAAATACGAGATTAAATTTTAAAATTTTATTAAATTCTTAAGCATAGCCATAAGTGATATTTCAATTTTACGATACAAACAAATATAAAATGTTAAATATGAATGTTTGATGAAGTAATTTCACATTTTCAACAATTTTACTTATTGAAAAATGAAATATCTAAAAATGCAGCGGAAAAAATTAAAATAAAAAAAAAAAATAAATGTAAAAAATTGATGCTAATTAAGATATATTTGATTAAAAAATGTCAGATTAGCCGCCGGATGAGAATGACAATTAGATGTAAATTGATAAATAGGAAAATGAAAAAAAAAAAAAAAATGAAATTAAAATCTAAAGCTATTCTATGCAAAGAAATATCATTAATTGCTGTACTAAGTTGTTTAATTAGTTGGAAAAATTTTGATCACTAAATTGTAAAGTGAATATCCGGAAAATATCCGGAAAATTGTCATTGACAAGTTTAGCTTAATTTAGTTTTCTGTCAAAGTTGACATCTTATCATTGGAAATTTTACATCTACAAGGCTGTTTAATTAATTGCGAAAGTTTCGATTACTAAATTGTAAAATGAATCCAGAAGATATCAGGAAAATTATCTTTGACAAGCTTAACTCAAAACAGAAGATATCCGGAAAATTATCTTTGACAAGTTTAACTCAAGTTAGTGTTTGTCAAAGTTGACATCTCGTCATTTATATTTCATCATCAGAATAGCTTATCTACTAAGCTGTTTAATTAATTGGGAAAGTTTCGATTACTAAATTGCAAAGTGAATCCGGAAGATATCCAGAAAAATTGTCTTTGACAAGCTTAGCTCAAAACAGAACATATCCGGAAAATTGTCTTTGATAAGCTTAACTCAATTTAGTTGTTTGTCAAAGTTGACATCTTATCATTTGCATTTTATCATTAGAAAGTTCATACCAATAAGGCTGTTTAATTAATTGGGAAAGTTTCGATTACTAAATTGTAAAATCCAGAAGATATCCGGAAAAATTGTCTTTGACAAACTTAACTCAAAACAGAACATATCCGGAAAATTATCTTTGACAAGTTTAACTCAGTTTAGTTTTTTTGTCAAAGTTGACATCTTATCATTTGCATTTTATCATTAGAAAGTTCATATCAATAAGGCTGTTTAATTAATTGGGAAAGTTTCGACCACTAAACTGTAAAATCCAGAAGATATCCGGAAAAATTGTCTTTGACAAGCTTAACTCAAAACAGAAGATATCCGGAAAATTGTCTTTAATAGGCTTAACTCAACTTAGTTTTTTTGTCAAAGTTGACATCTTATCATTTACATCTTATCACCATATCATTCCTCCAACGACATTAAACTGATATTTGCTAACTAAATTCATTTTCACTCAATAATTTCGAAAACAATTGCTAAATATGAATTAAAATGTTAAACGCAATTGAAAGAATGAAAAAAAAGAAAAAGAAACATTTAAAAAAAAATAAAATATTAACCTGAAATTGTTAAATTAATATATAAATTTCACAGAAAAAAAAAGATGTAAAAGAAAAAGGAAGAAAAAAAAAACCAAAAAACAATTATCAATTCTCTTTTTAATGATTAATTTAATTTTTGAAGTACTAAATTCTATATTTCTTTAATTGCTGAAAAAAAAAATTAATGCTTATAAAATTTAAAAATGCAAAATAGTTTCAACATATATTATATTGTTAAATAAAAATTAATGATTGCTATTTATTAAAGTGATTCATTTTAGAGTTACACTAATTTAGTTGCTTTAAAAAGTATCAAAAATTTTTTCTTTATTTTCAAGACTATTTGAAAAAATGTGTGAATATTAAAAATTTGAACAATTCATTATTGATTGTAAATTAATAAATTAAAAAAAAAAAATTAATAAAGAAAATTGATGTAAACAATACTAGCTAGTAATTTTAGATATGAATTGTAAACAAAAAATCAAAATTTGTTTGCTAGCTAGTAATTTACATATGAATTGTAAACAAAAAATCAAAATTTGTTTGCTAGCTAATAATTTACATATGAATTGTAAACAAAAAATCAAAATTTGTTTGCTAGCTAGTAATTTACATATGAATTGCAAACAAAAAATCAAAATTTGTTTGCTAGCTAATAACTTACATATGAATTGTAAACAAAAAATCAAAATTTGTTTACTAGCTAGTAATTTACATATGAATTATAAATAAAAGATCAAAATTTATTATAATTATTCCATTTTCATCTCCATGGTGAAAAAAAAAAAAAAAATTACATTCAAAAATGACATTAAATGCAAGAATTTGTTTATAAATAAAAAATGTATTATCCATTCAATAAATCATTTATATTTATGAGATATACATATATGTATTTATAAGCATATAAAAATCTTAGACAATAATAGAAATTATAATGAGAAATTCTTGGTAATTAAATATTTGCCATTTATGAATGAAAGTAGTTAAGTTATTTCTCATCAATAGTTTCATTTGCTTAAGAGAGAAAAATAAAAATGAATTAATAATTGCTTTTGTGAATTTAACCAAATCAATTTAATTTTTTCTCATGAAGAAAAAAAAAATGAATCAATTAATTATGAATTTAAATTTTCCCTACATTTTTTTCCATATTTATTTAGCAATTTCTAATTTATGCATTCGTTAAATCTCTAAAATAATCATGGGTAATTTATTTTGCTTTTTTATAGAAGAAAAATTTTTTTTTAATTTTTAAATTTTAGAAATTGAAGGAAAATTATGAGTATGCTTGTGAGAGAATTTAATTTCATTGAAGGAAAAGACGATTAACTCAAAAAAAAAAAAACAAAAAACAAAATTTATAAAAATTCATTCCATATTGATTTCTTTTAATTCGCTGAAAATTATAATTTTTTAAATTTTTGTTCTTCAAGTTTTATCGGAAATTTCAATTACAGGAAAATTTCAAAAAAAAGTAAAAATGATTGAAATTATGAATTCAATTAATTAATAAGCAAATTCTTCGAGACATTTCTAGACATTCCTTCATTTACCTAATTTTTGCTAGGGAAATAATTTGATAGTCATTGTTGAACAAAGTTTCAATTTAAATTTCACTAAATTTCAATTTGAATTCCAAGACGTGATAAGGAATGAAAATTTGAACTTTCAACTCATAAGTAATTCTCAATGCTTTTTGTGATTGCTAAAATTTTGAGAAAAATTTTTAAAAAAAACTTTTTATAATTTTTATCACTAGTAAAAGAAAAGAAAAGTAATTTTCTCTTTGAGATAGGATAAGAAAAAAAAAATTATAAAAATATATTTAAAAAAAAAAGTTCTATAAATTAGCTAAAAGTTAAAATATATTTTTTAAGCTCATGGAATTGGTCAAAATTAATTAATCTGAATAAAATATGCAAAGATTACCACTCAAAAAAGAAAAAAAAACGATGGATGACACTCATTAATACCTCAATTCTGAAGTATTATTTCCGGAAAATTCCGATTAGACCAGAATTCCTGATATACATATTATTGATCTATTCATACTTCTTAAGCTAATGGAATTGGTCAAAATTAATTAATCTGAATAAAATATGCAAAGATTACCA